ACTTACTCGTGTTGATAAACATTAGTTAGGAAATACCGCTGGCTCATTCATCTTACTACATTTACCTAAAACATTTATTTCCAACTCTTTGTTAATTTTTATTTTCTTGAATGTCTCGTTATTAGGTTTAGGCCAATCAATGATAATACATTTGTACGCAAAATTAAACATACCTTCTAACAATGACCCAAAAAATATAACATTCTATTTAAAAAACAAAGTTGTTTTTTAAAAAATTTACTATGTAACTATTATATATAACAATTTTTTTTACAAAACTTATAATTTACAAGTTTTTCGAAATGTGCAAGTTAGATGCCTCACTGTATAATATATGTGAAATATCAAAGCTTCAGTCTTTTTTTAAGTTCAATTTACTTTGAATCAATCCATTTTGATATTAAAAAAAAGAATGCTGAATTTTTTATCGAATTTTTTTAATTAAATTTTTTAATTTGATATGACTTTTGTCGGAAAAATTCATAAATAAGCATTAATATTATAATCTTCAGCTACCGTTGTTCGCCACAAATCGCAATAATATGGAAGATTTATACTAGCGAACAATTCTACGAATCTATTGCGAATCGTGAATTGCAAATAACGAAGATTACATTTATATATCTTGTCTTTCTGTTATAATCATTTTAATATAAAGCTTATCGTCAGTTCGCTCTTTCCGTTTCTTAAAGTTGTGATTATCGTAATATAGAATAAGAAACCTAACAGTCTTCAACAGATATCGAATACAAAGATCTTTTTCAGAGTTTAATATCCCGTAAAATAAAAATAAAGTGTCTCGATTTACTTAAATAAAGATGACGGATTATCAAAAGTATCGTAATAAAAAATTTTACTGAACTTAGAGCCTCCTTACGGAACTTCCCCTACTCGACATGTAGCGTACCCCTCCTTTAAAATAAATACGAGCGATTCAGAGCAGTAAGTATAGATAAACATAAGACAGGGAGGAAAAAAGAGCTCAAAGAAATAGTAAAAAAGAGAACAACAACCCTGAGAGCAAGCCGTACAGTTCGCAAAAACCGCGAATGAGGCAGGTAGTAACAACGGCTAGAATCAAAGTATAGTTTTCCTATATACTACCTATTACATTAATTAGATGCGTCATCTCTGTATTTAAAAATACTAATAATATTGCGTTGAATATAAATATATTATCTGTTATAATTAGTAATCAATATTATTCGAATAGTCCCGCTCTAAAACCTTCACGCCCTACCTTCGTTTTGTGTGTTTTAAAATTGCGTTTCCGTTCGTACATAGCTTCTCCCAACTATACCACCGTCTCATAATCTAAAATATATGTATGTACATATAGTTGCGGCAAAGGCAGCCATTAACTCTTTGTAACCCTTTCTTTTTTCCCCTCCTCCGTCTCCGCGCTAGTATTTAAATTTACTTTTATCCATCTGAGACTCGTTAATATAATAAATTAATTAGCTCGTTTAAACCAATCGTCAACAACGCATCGATTATATTTACGTGTCCTGTACAAATGAAATGTAATAACCGCTTTTCCTTAACACCTCGCATATACTTAAGATGTTTTAATTCACGCTTTAACTTTAGTTAAAAATCAATAAGAGTAAGGAATACAATATTAGTAGTAATAATTATAATTGATATACTAATGGATCTTATTTCGCATCGTTATTTATCGGTATTTAGTCTATAAAATAAGTTGTAAAAAACAGCCGTAGATAAAACACGTCGCTATTATTTGCCGCTCCCTCCTTTGCAAGTTAGGTATTAAATAACGCGTTATTTATTTAGAACAACCATAGTGCTTTTTTCATCACTTTTTCATCTATATATTTTTCTCTTACGAATTTATCGCTTGAATGTTCGATAATATGTTAACTATTTAATTCTTTAGTTGCAAACCGTATATACATATTTCCAAGATGAAAAACTAACATTTTTTTTTTAAATTAGAATTTATTTTTATTACAAATTTCTTAACCTAAATTGGATAAAATAAGCAAATAAAAGTTTGAATAAAACATCATCAAAGCTCTTTCTTCTTACTAAAATTTATGACATCGTTATACTGTATATTGTATATTAGAATTTTATTTAGAATATACAACTTAAAATATAGTAAATTTATATAATTTATATAAATTTATATTATAATTATGATACATTTTTATTTTGTTTTTATTCAGAATTTTAAAACAGCCGCAGCTAAAGGGTTAATTAGTTTACTTTTTTTATGTGCATTTTTAGAGGTAAAAGTGTATGTGTGTGAATATGTATTCATGAGTGTATATGTTTATTTGTATGTGTTTCTTTTTCTTTGTATTACTATAATAATTAAGGTGTAAAATTGGTTGTTTGATTGAGCTCTCTAGTCGCATTTTTGTTTCATTATGTGTTCAAGTGTGTTATTGCGTTGATCCCAGAAATTCACACGAGTCGCGTTTATTAACACTGCACTCGTTTCTTTTCACCTAATTATCGTGGACAATACTGACTTTTTCTCCGCGATATATTTCATCGCAGACGAATAAGAAGTTACTATATCAGATTTATAACAAAATGCAAAGTTCTAAATTGAAATTCGACACATCGATCGATATATTAATAAATATCATAAAAAAGAAAAGATTGACTTATTCTACAGCTTTAATGCAACGCGATTCAGCACTTTATTGTCAGGATACGTAACAAGCATTAATGACATGAACGGCGAAACGAATAACGGAAAGAATACGAAGAAAAATAAAATTAGCAGTCGATCATCTTGCACTTAAGATACAATGAAGCCTTACACTGTCATTCGATGGACAAGGAAAACAAAATAAATGGGCAATAGTAAATTACGTTATATGAGATCACATTTATAACGCTTAACGAAATTGCTGGATTCTGTAACCGTAATCTATTAATTACACCTTTATGTGTGGTATAAGGTCTATCTTGGTGAATTATACATTAGCATAATACTCGCCATTCTCATCGATAAAGTAAGACACAACGCGACCCGCTCGGTAATTAAACATGAGCATTTGGAGAGCACTCTTCCGAAATATTCCTCGTTTAGATCTATGGTAAATCCTACAGAGTAAATACAATTAAGTCATATATTTAATCAGGTAAACTTTTCAGGTCGATATCCCCCACCGAGACATATCCACACGATTACAATATACCCCTCCCTCCACCTTATCTATCAATGATCTCGTTCTACTGATCTAAAATTTAAACACTTATAAGCTTCAGCGCATATTTCATAATTATCGTCGACAGTAATAATAGTGTAATAGTAATAGTGTAGTTGTAGTACTTGCAGTAGCAATAGCAAGAGTAAACACTCATAAGTATTAATAGTAATAATAGATGTATATAATAGTAATAATAATATAGAATTAATTATAATAGTAACAATAATAATCGTAGCCTTAAATGTGCCTAATAGTTATTATAAATCGGAGGTAAAAAATAAATCAGTTTCCACGTGCATTTTACGGTATGGTCGAACAGAAGCCAGTCCGCCGGCCACACACTAAGTTCTTATAATACAATTTGTAAAAATATTTGTGATTGTTTGTCGGTTTTTTTTCTTCTTATCCCCTCCCTTCCGCGCTTTGTATCATTTCCAAATCGTTGGAAGAATAGGAAAGTCGCTAAACTAATTTAAGGAATCAGTATTCATAAACAAGAAAGAGTAGAAGAGAAAAAAGGAACTGAGGGAAATACGTATTTAAGATATTACTAGTGATATGACATGAAAGTAAAAAAGGACGTCTGCAGAAACCGCATCCTGCTGTGTGTCAAAGATTTATATAGATATACATACACCATATTAAAATGATCTATATATTGTACACTATTCTCTGTAGTCAGCCTGTGTGTCGTCTTACTTAATTATCTCATCAATTACTCGTTATATCATTTTTCATTTTTCTTCAATTATCTGGTATAACAACTATTTAATAAATACAAGATCGTGGAGGGACGAGTGTCTCGAATGTGTAAGTCATTCGCGCTGACTTTCCATCAGAGACCATAGTTTAAATATTTCTTTCGTTTGTGTTCTTATCATCATTTGTGTTACATACACCGTCTGCTAACGGTTAGGAAGTGAACAAGCATCGAATTTTGTTCCCCTGAGAAGAATTTTCTTCTCGAACGAAAACTTATTCACCTCCATAATAAATGCCATTAACGATTAAATGATTAGCATTCTTGATTCTTTACGCTCGCTTTTACTTTGTTTGCACATTTTAGAATCTCCTCCTTAGGATCTCTTTTAGCTCATTATGTATTTTTACAATTTGTTATCACGCTTCCTTTCGTCCATCCCAGTGCCATACAAACTTCACTTGCCTCATGGGTGTGTATTCTAACATTGTCAATTTGTGTATTTTATTTAACATTTAATATTTAATTTATATTTTTTATCTGAAAAAATTATATGCTGTTCTCGCGAGTGATCAATAAAAAAATCAATATCTGATAAAAGCTTAAACACTTTCTTTGATGTTTTCGTTTGCCAAACTTTTTGACAAGATGTGTTTCGATAGTAAAAAAAAGATATCTATATACTAATTCGACCGCTCGCGAATAACATGCCGGCGTAAACAAGAGACATTCCCTTTTCTGTCGTCTGCCTGCAAATCTTAGCGACTTTTTTAGCGAGCATTTTATTGTATAACTAATATTGTTAACTCTAATTTGCGGCTTCTACAAAAATACATTACATAGTGCCAAATTCCTTAAACGACAAGTCTTTTCCTAAATAGCATTTTTAATGTATACAGAAACGTGAATCAACAAAGAATGTCTCATGTCATAACGCAGATTTTACGATCAATATATAGTTTATCCTGAATTTGAAGAAATAACCCACGAGCAAGGCCAAGCCATTCAGCGCATCTCTCCAACTCGAGTCAATTAAAATGGTCATGAGGTGGGCCACTCTTTAAAATCGAAGCCTTGCTGGCCGGGTTTAGGAGCGCTTGCAGCGTACCCACCTTGACTATTTTCTCCTCCTTGATACGAACGTTGAGGATAAGAAGTATCAGCGTAATTACTGTATGCAGAATATCCAGTATAATCTGGAGTCTTGGCTGAACTGCTGCTAGATCCTGGAGCACCTGAACCGGTATTTTGCCGCGAATACATGTCACCTGCAACATTTGTACATAATATTAAGTCATTTTGTTCTAACGGGTTATAAATAAACGTAAAGAAAGTAAAATTAAACATCATATGCTTAAAAAATTATTAAAACTAATTATTTGCGACATACATTTAGACGATATTCTACTTTATACTATCTAAATGTTATATTTCAAAATCAAAGTAAATAATAAAATTGATATACACATAAACTATTATTTTTATATATGTATAAAATAATATAATAAATAATAGTAATTAAAAATATGTATAGTTCTTTCTTTTCTTACATTTTTCAATATTAAAAAGATAATGAGATATTAAGACATAAATAATCAAATATTTTCGCTATATAACAAAGATAGATTTTTGATACTTTTCAGATAATATAACAAAAACTATTATTTTATATCGCTTGTGTAAGATTGTAAAAAAAACATTATAGCAGTAATAGCTTTTTGTTTAAGAAAGTCTTAATCGTTAAGTTCTTTTTAATATTGTATTTAATTACACTTATAATACATTACATATATATATATATAAACTATATTATAAGTACAATATAAATATACAAATATAATTAAACATATATAATATATATGTACAATATTATTGTACATTTTTTTAAATAAAACAAAAAATTAACGAGACACTATTATATTGTTCAATAATTTTCATAAATACTGCAAACAAATTTCATTCTATAAACATCTGCGTATAAAAAAATTCGCACCTGTAGTATCTAAAAAATTATAAAATTAATTTACATTTAAATCGGCTCTATCACAACATCAAGATAATGAGATCAGTATTCCTGTGTTGATGTACAATGCGATTAATTTATCTTTCAATATAAATCTTTATATAAAAAAATAAATCCACACAATAATAAATTATAACTATATCAAAAATATTTCAAGCAACTTATAAAATATATGATTCTTATTATAAAAAAGCACAATTCTAAAGGTAATAAATCATATACTCGAGATAACTGCTATACAATCATGCATTTAATATCAAATAACTATTACAATCATCTACAATAATAATAAATGTATGAACAAGCTATTTTAACATCTTAAATATATCTCACATTTCATTATACATTTTTGCTCAGAATTATTTACAGATTGAAAAAATTACTTTAAACAACAAATATTATAGAAATGTCACAAATATCTCGTATGTTTATAAATAACGAATTGACATCAATTATAGATTCAACATTACAGTTGCAGAGAAATATGAAATGTGTACATTAACAATAAAAAGCACTAAATAGACATACATTTATTACACACAAGCAAAGATATAAAAAATGCTATACTGATCTCAGGATCTTAAAGACGAATTGATGTCAGTTGTATAACTTCTATTTTCTTTTTAAATTTTTATAACTTACAAACACAAAAAACAGCTGATTATTATTGTACATTTCTTACGGATCACATTTGTTATTGTCAGTAAAGACATCAATTCGTCATTAGTCAAATAGGCGATAAAAGGAAACAGAAGGAGAGAGTACAGCATATTATCCTGCATTACAAATTGTCATAAAACATTAATTTTCTTAGTTAACTTTCAATGTTTGTAAAGTGATTATTCTTATTATTTATAAGTTATAAAAAAAATTATAACATGCTCTCAACTTGGGATAAAAATATCTTTCGAAAATCTATTCTAAATCTGTTATGTATAATAGTATGCAATATATGTATATACTTCCAATCATAAATGGTTAAACAACCCGATAAATGGGTACTGGCAGGGTACATGCTATTTGAGAATTTAAATGTAAAAGATATCCGGAAAAATCAGACTAACAAAATGTAATAAAAAATTTTCAAAGGAAAGGAATACCTAGGATAGATGAGGACTTTTAAATAAAAAGAACTATGATTTGTTGACGTTACGGCTCAGAAATTATCGTTTCTAATGCTCGAAGCATGATCTAGATCATGTAGCGAATAAAATATGAAATAATAAAATAGATGATGGGACCAGAATAGCTAGGCGAGTGGCAGTGCGTCAAGCGTACAGCAAGCATTACTTTCGATCCAAAGAATGAGCAATATGCAACGAGTATATAACTATATTCGATTATTTTCACTCAATTCAACTTCAAGCAAAAGCTAGTATCTATATAATACTGTTTTCTGTACTTGCACACACTCACAAACAAACACACAAACACACGCACACGCACGCACGCACGCACGCACGCACGCACACGCACGCACGCACACACACGCACACACACATATATATATAGGTATACATATATACGTATGCAGGAAAAATATGAATGTATATAACATAAGTACATACACGCACACATATACATATATACACATATATATTTTTTTAATAAATTCTTTGATAATATAAAGTTACTTAAATAAAAAAGATAAGATTTCTTTAGATCTATACACTCGTTGTGAATAATATAATACAAGTCTTCTTAAGTCTTAATAATATTAAAATAATACAAATTTTATTCTACTTCCTTCAATCTTCATCGTAAAATAGTTGTCACAAGGTGTGTCAAACATATCAAATTTTTAACTTATTAATTATTATTAGAAACTGAAGTATGTGTTAAACAATTTTTTATTGGAACTATACATATATATTTATAATCTGTACAAAAATAATCAATATATATTTCATTCAATTAATATATATATTTTAAATTTTATCACCTTTTACTTTCTTTTTAAAAACAGAATTATTGTTAAAATCTTACAACTATAGAAATGTTAATATAAATATAATGTTATAAAAATTCACCAAGCAGAATATTAGAAATTGTCCCATTATTAAATTGTTAATCAAATTATTAACATTCATGTACTATCAGATGAAAATATCGCAGTTAATAAAATCAGTTATGAGAATTGGAGGAAGTGCATACATCAAATACAAAAAGAGGAACATTCTATATGTTGAAAGTATCAACTCTTTGAGTACAATAAAACCATATATACATTCAACGAAACATCGGTGGTCTACGGATTTATATATAAGTTCGACGAAAATCATTGGCGTGGCCTATGGACTCAAATATGCGTTCGGTGAAAGTCATCTGCGTAGCCATGGACTCATATATGTATTCGGCGATGTCTCCTTTATATTCTCATTGCAAAAAAAATACATAGTCCGATCACAGTCGCGAACAGCAAGTGCATCCATAAAGAACGTTCAGCTTGTAAGTGCTCCGTACTCAAAGAGTTAATTCTCCCGACCACTGGACATATAAAATTAGGCTAGTATAAGAAATTACATTGCTGTAGCTAGGCGCAGAATTAGGTCAAAATGGAACTAATTGCGATGCCAAAGGGTGGAAAGAGGAAAGTTTGTTTGATTTGAGCTTGAAGACTCACCCTGCGGGCCAGAGGGGTTCGAGTTGGAGTTGGGCTGCGAGGAGTTAGGCTGAGGGGGCTGGGGTGGGGGCTGGGTCCCAGGAGGAGGCCCATTCTGTGGCATGTTCCAGGAGCTCCAAGAGCCCCCAGGCCCGCCTCCCGCAGCCCCGCCAGTACCCGCCGTGGGCCCGTAGCCCCCTGAAGCGGCCGCCGCCGGCCCACCTGCGATCATCAACCACACAAAACACGTGTCACCGACCGCATGTCATAGCTCACATCATCTTTCTTACCACTTTGTTTAATTTATATTACTATTGTTTTTCTCTAATTTGTTACAAATATAAAGCTGTCTCTATTTTTTTAATGTTAAGAATGCCTCTTCGGCGACTTGAACATTCATGCTTGGTTCTCTTAATAAATAGCATGGAAGAAGAAGAAAAGGAAGAATTAAAAGCAAAGATAGGCGATAACAATAATTATATAGGATAATTTAGGCAAATACACTCCAGTGGAGAATACACTCCATTTCTTATATCTTGTAAACTAGAAAAACAAACAAATATCTATCTGATCGAGCATACGCATCTCAGCACATCTAATAAAAAGTTAAGAGGCACAATGTTGCAACCATTTCGCAAACATTTATTAGTTTTCATTTAACTTTCTATATTTTGAAGTTCTGAGCTATATAGTAAAAATTGATACAAATAAAATAAAGTATTTTATGTATATGTGAATTTTATCAAATACAAAGTGCATCATTGAAATTACTGGATAAGGCATTTCCCTTTCAATTTACAAATACGCCCCAGTAATTTGATTTAAATAAGTCTCTTTCTTATTTTTATTATATTATTTGTAGCAAATATCAATTTCTTCTTCTTCTGAAGACAAATTTGTGTTTAATAAAGACAGTATTGTTAAATAGCATATGCTGATTTGTAAATATATATTTTATATATTTCCTAAATATATCTGATATTTTATAAACTTTTAAACTTTTAAATGTATAAAACCAACACGACTAAAATTTACATAAATAAATGCAGCTTCCCCTTTATAACAAATGTAGAAAAAAAATAAAAGAAAATTCTACAAAAAACGTAAAATTCTTTCCAAAAAATTTTTTAAAGACAAAATATTAAAACTTTATTTTTGTATTAGTAATAAATGCTTTTTCAAAAGATCGAAAATAGGTTAGTTTTTAATCTTTAATTTAATTAAAAATTAAAATTTTTAATTTTGTTATAAAAATGTGTTATTAAAATAAAATAAAGTTTAATTTCTAGGTCATATTTTATTATATGATTTAATCAATTTTTCATCCTTTTTCTAATTTTTCACAAAAGAGCATATTTCCTTAACGAACAAATTGGGCGTCTTTTCTGAGACGCTTAATGAAAACACTTTTAAATATTATAAATATAAAATAAAATTTGTTTTACTAATATTTCTATGTTTTAATTTTAATCTTCCTTATTATTACATAGGTAAAAAGAGTCTATATGTATAATAAAAATATAACTCCGACTTACAGATTGTGATATATTAACGTTCTAATAACTGTAGAGCGTATTTGCCTGAACTATCCTATAGAAAAGTTGCTCTTATAGAAAATATTATTAAACATGTGTATACACAACAACATTGTATAGATTACAACACAGTATAGGTAGCTTCTCTATTTTATAATACATGAATATGACATTTGTTATATATTATGAAATGTAAGCATGTGACATGTTATCATACTCAATGTTAGTATTCGCTATCTCTAAGCATATTAGAGATAGCATCCTATTTTTAATATAGCAATTGGTGCTTTAAGATAATTTAGTGTTAGAGATAAGTGGAGAGTAAGAATATTGTTCTAATATAAAAACAGAACCTGTGTAAAAAAAAAAGATTTAGATTTAAGACTTCTGCCTACTCCCTACGGCTCTCCTGAATTGTGACGTCAAAAGCGAGAAAATACATTTTAAAAAATTCTTGCAAAATACATTAAAAGTCGATAGGAGACACGGTAGAAATATTGAGAAAATCACAAAGTTATTTATCATCAAAAGAATTGTCACAACTTACTACAAAGTAATTTTTTGGAAAAAAAAAATGCAAAATTAAATATTTTTTTATTCCGCTATAATATAAGGTGCGGATAATCTATTTATTATGTTTTAAGGAACAAATTGTAAAATGTGGCTCTGTAACTTTCGTACGTTCGTAAGAAATAAGCTTAAAAAAATTATCTTGTGGTAAAATATTTCTTCTAATAAAACAAAATGTGAAGAAGAGTACAGATATAAATCTGTATCACGAATAAGGTGCAGATGAATTAACTCGTCATGCCTTTTGAGCCTTAAAATATAAATAATTTGTAAAAAACTAACATTTGATACTGTAGATTTGTAAAATATATCAAAAATATCCTTTGAGTTTTAATAATAAATAATTGAATTGTGCCTATATATAAATATATATATGTGTATATACAGGGTGTCCGAAAAGTGTAGAAACGGTCGAATATCTCGAGAAATACACATCGGATCAGAAATCTGAAAATATCGTATTCAATGTTTTCAAAAAGCTATCTTTTGACATCTAACACGACCCCCCCACCCCCACCCGCTGTGGGTGAAAGAGAGGGTAACTTTAAAATTTTAAATGGGAACCCCCATTTTTTATTGCAGATTTCGCTTCTTCAGAAAAAGTTACATAAATTTTACCTATTACAAACATTTTTTTGATGACAGATGGCGCTGTAATCAGCGAAATTAAAAAATGAGTCTAAAACGTTTAAAATATCTCAAGAAATACTCAAAGGATCAAAAAAATAAAAATGTACGTATTCAATGTTTTCAAGAAAGCTATCCATTGACACAAAAATTCTATCCCCCACCTACCATCCGCTGGGGGTGAAAGGGTAGGTAACTTTAAAATTTTAAATGAGAAAACCCCCATGTTTTATTGCAGATTTCGCTTTTGCAGAAAAAGTCGTATTAACCCTTTAACGCCGAGATGTGCTGAATTTCGACATGGATTTCAACCCCCAACAATTAGCAGAAAAGAACGTAGACAAGTATCGAAAGGTCCATTTGTATGTAATAAGGTATCAGAAACGTGTTCCCGATAGTTAAACTTCGAAAACGTGTACTGTATACAATTTTCATTTTTCGATTTTGAGTTCACAATGGCGCCTATAAGTTCAAAATTTTTCGAAATCGTACGGCGAGTAAATTTGCAAAAAATATGCCCGAATTCGATTGAAACTTGTTACTCGAGGGTTTTTGGAATCGCTGATTACGAATGTGAAGTCAGAATCCAAAAATTCAACTTGACGTACCTACAATGGCAGACCAAGTTTTCAAAATTTGAAGTAGCGTCCTTTGCCTTTGAATATAATATTTCAAAGTTTCCCGATTCTCACCGCGAGAAGGTGGACGATTTTTTTTTGTTTCTTATTTTTTTTTTAGTTTTTTTAGAATGTTTTTAATTTTTTGTTTTTTTTTTAAGTTTAATTTTTTTTATTTCCTTTACTGGATTTTTTAAAAATATGTACATACATATGTATATATGTCAACTACTGAATGAGATGTTCAAATTGATGCCCCTCAGCAACTTGACAATATCCCAATCGTGCATAGAAGTTATCATTAACTTTTTGCAGCGTTTCTCGAGTATCGTATTAGAACATTGGATTATTCTTTCTTTTAACTCATCGACCTCCAGGGTGAGAATATGCTCCGTTGAGTATTTCTTGAGATATTTTAAACGTTTTAGACTCATTTTTTAATTTCGCTGATTACAGCGCCATCTGTCATCAAAAAAATGTTTGTAATAGGTAAAATTTATGTAACTTTTTCTGAAGAAGCGAAATCTGCAATAAAAAATGGGGGTTCCCATTTAAAATTTTAAAGTTACCCTCTCTTTCACCCACAGCGGGTGGGGGTGGGGGGTCATGTTAAATGTCAAAAGATAGCTTTTTTGAAAACATTGAATACGATATTTTCTGATCCGATGTGTATTTCTTGAGATATTCGACCGTTTCCACACTTTTCGGACACCCTGTATATATACAGGGTGGGGCATTTTAATCACCCCAGGCGAATATCTCAGAAACTAAAAGAGAATACAAGAGAATAAATTAAAATGCCCCACTTTTTAAGAATAAAACATATTGTGTTTCTTCTTAAATATGTTTTTAATGCTTCAATATACTTTAAACAATATTATAAAAAAAAACATTTAAAACATTAAAAACATCAATTGAGCACGTTTTAAAACACGTTTGAAACACTTTTTTACCAACCCTAGTATTTTGTAAGAATTTTTGTATGTACTTGCTCGCTTCTACCATTACAATCCAATATATACCTGGTATATTTGTATCTAATAAAAAAATAATGATCTATTGAATATAAAAATAATAGAGAATTAAAATAATTATAAAACAGTTAAATTCGTTACTATAAAAATGTAACGATGTTACTGTTACAAACAGAAAAAAATAACGATCGTTATCAAAAAAAGTAATAATAACGTAAATGACGTTACAGGAAACGTGTTACTTCCTAACTCTGCAAATCTATATATTTAAAATTTTGCGGAAACAAGATAGAAAATTTTAATGCAGTCCAGTACTGCGACAACAACAGCCCCTTTATCGATTTCATTTTAAATATATGTATATTAATTTAACTATAGAATACGAACAATAGCCCTATTCTTTATAATTGAATTGCTTTCTATCTCGTCTTTGCTAAATTTCAAATATATATATATATGTCTCATTGTACACAAATGTACACTAACTGCATTCAAAATACAAAGCCATTCAGTGGTTCTTTATTATGATTGGTTTATACATTTAGATCCAACAAAAAATTAAGTGCAAGAACCAATCATATTAAAGAATAACCGAAATGTTTTGTTTATTGAACGCAGTTTACTAGTTTTTATCTGTAAAGAACAAACCTCATGACTGTAATGAATAAGTAGAAGCCTTAAATAACGAAAAAAAGACATGAAAAGAATTAAACTTGAAGAGAATCAAGCATAAAAATCTACAAACAAGATTATGAAGATCAATATTTTAAATACGCATATATTTGAAACATATATGTATTATGTCAATCCAAACCAAGCGTTAAAGTTTTATTTACAATACTTGAGATATTTAGTCAAAATTATAAAATAATTATATTTATATATTTTACTATATAATAGTTACTAATATACAAATATTGTATGTATACAAAAGTGTATAAGTTGTATAAACATTTTACATAACTTATCATATATAAAATGTTTATAAACATTTTATGTACGTATATATATATATATATGTTTATATATATAATATAATGTACAGAGCGTCCCAAAATTCACGAATTAAAATACAATAAGAAAGTTTTCAAAAAATTAAGTAAAAAAATTATTTATAAATTTTTATTTTAAGCAATAATTTGTGGAATAATAAGGCTTTATGAATATAGCCAATTACAGACAACGTTTAGACGGACTACGTTTAAACACGCTGAAGTGAGCGCTTACTAATACTACCGCACACGCGATTCTTGGTAGCCGTCTACATGTTGTCCGTAATTAATCATATTTAAAGCCTTATTATTTCACAAACTATTGCTTAAAATAAAAACTTACAAATAATCTTTTTATTTAATTTTATAAAAACTTTCTTGCTGTAGTAGAGTATCGCGAATTTTGGGACATCCTGTATATATGTACATACTGTATACATGTATATATATCACATTCCTATAATATAAATATAACATAAATCACAGATTTTTGTTATATTTATATTATAGCCTAGAAAAATTAAAAACTAAGGAAAATAAGTTATTTCTAAGAATATTTATAAAACTAACATTCTCTCTTTTTACGTTATATTGAAGTTATATAATCTGCTTTTTATATAATAATAATAATAATATACAAAACACATAATATACAAAACACATAAGTCTGGGCTGACATAATTACTTTCTGTTTTAACTTTCTTTATATTAAAACCTCTTATATTTTTTCTCAAATCTTTCTGAAAACCTCCAGGGGGCATCGTACAAGTAGATCATATTATATTGTGATTTATAGATTTCTCATGTTCTTATGTTTTTCCGTGTCTTCTTTTAATCTCTCTAAGTAGGACGGAAGGGGGATAGGAGCAGGATTAAAGTTGATATTTATTTAAGTAAAATTTTATCGCTACCTAAAATATAGTGTAAACGAAGTTGATACTTTAGAAAGACTTCAACAATTTTAGATAAATTATTCTAGTAAATATTTTCTAATGCATGATGATGTAAGTGCATGTATAAATTTTAACAATATTTTTATAAAATTTATTTCTTCAGTACATTATTTATATCAACGTCGTTCACCATCATGTACCCTGTACAAATAATATGGTACAGTAATTCATTCGATAATTTATTAATTGCTCAATAATGAATTTTTCTTAAAAAATCTCTTCAATTTTGCTAGTTGAATATCAGCTATATATCAGTTAATATTTCACATCAACGACATAATTAATAAAAGATTGATAAGAGAGAAAGAACACTTTTTTTATGTATGTTAAATTCTTTTCACATTTGCATACTTCGGTAAATAAGTTATTAATATTAGATAAAATCTGTTAAATTACATTAAAACTGTCTCATACTATGTCGCAATCGATTGAATCAAGACCTCGATTAATATTTGCTAATAAACAATGGATAGAAAATGTGACTTTTCGGAATTATATTCGAACTCACCATAACTTCCATAACCTTGGGTAGCTGCAGCAGGTTGAACATTATAGCTACTACCCCATTGATGCGGTGGCGGCGGCGGGATTTGCTGCTGCTGCGGCGGTCCTGGTGGTGCACCCCAACCCTGAGCATTGTACTGGGTGCTGTATCCCGCATATCCACCAGTTTGAGGACTGGTACCCCAACCCTGATATTGTTGCATCATATTACCAGGCGGACCCATGGGTCCACCCATCATGGGTCCACCCATCTGACCATTTGGTCCACCCATAGGCCCCATATTTCCGGCCATTCCCATTGGCGGGCCACCTTGCTGAGGTGGGCCCCATTGACCCTGATGACTATCGTTCATTTTGCTCGATGAGTCCCGCGGTTCGGCTCTTTTAATCTCAACCTGAAATAAATAGATACCACACAAATGTACATAAAATTTCTCTTTTTTTAACAAAAATAATTAAGTTTTATATTTGTATAAATTATTAAATCAATTTTTGGAAAAAATGATAGGAATTTATCATCTACAATTATCTTTATACAAATTATTGTATATTTTAGGCTAACACGTTAATTAATTTGATATTCTGCACTAACGCTTGTGCTATCTTATATAAAAATAATATTTAACTCTAATTATAAAATAGAGATTCATTGATTGGACTTATTGTAAACGAACACATTTTAGTGTAATACTTATATATAAATATTTAAAAATATTTATTACACTTAATACTATTCAAATTATAAAATTAATTTAATTCTATCCCCAAATCTACGTATAGATTAATATACGTATATATTAATATATATACTAATGTTCGTATTAATAAATAATTTATGTGACTAAAATTTCTATATAATCTTAATAGTCTCAAAAGAGAACAATATTAACATATACTTATTTTCTATCTTTTGCATAAGGTCACACATTAATATGGTGATTGACGTGTATTGACGTATTATACCTGCTTTCCATTCAGGTTGACAAAATGTTCTGCGACACAACGGTCCACTGCTTCTTCATCCTCAAAGCTGAGAAAGCCGAATCCTGTCGTCCAAACGTGAGAGAGTATAATCAAAAAATGCTCGCCATAACAATACGAGAAAGCAGTTTTTACAATGCATAAAATATGCACACGTCCAAAACCCCAAAAAACAACTTACAATATCCAATCTTATAATACTTATTAAATAGATTTTGTCATTTACATTAGTAAATTAATAAAATAATCGCTTTTTATATTGCGCAATGTAAATTCATGGTAATTCTTGGCCATGATTTTTACAATACAAGATTTAATAAATCAAAATCAATAATTCAAAGTCCATTAGAACGCTACTATTTAACGTAACGCTAATTTATTTAATGTACTGACAATTTCCTCAAAAAGAAACCATATGCTAAGAGACAGACAGTAGAGGCTAAGAGAGATTATAGTGCTACATGACTATTGGCTGAGCACATCTCTCATGTTGCAACAAATTTATCGCAATATAACATTAAAACGGTGTTTATAATAGAATAATAAGCCTCAAGCCATAAAAAATTAATCAATCACAGTCAAATGTGAAGAAAATAAACTAGAATTAGTCAATTTCTTATGACTTAAAGCTTATTACTTTATTGTAGACACCACTTTAGGTTGTTGTGACTTTTTATGAAATACTTCGAACGCAAAATATTTTAATATTACGAAAAGTACAAAAAATTACAATAGATATAAAAATCAGTAATTTATTTATTATGTTTACAATTCGGTTTAAAAATTATCCAAACTTACTTTTTTTATTATAAAATTAAATTTGTAAGATCAAAAATTAGTGAATATTTATTTACCATAAGTAATTATTATTTATTTCTTATCTATATTGATTAATGTCAATACTATTACGCAACTGATTGTAATTATTAATCTCTCTATATATAATCTAGATTAATACATATATGCATAATAAATAATAAATGTCAATACGTGGTCAAAATTTAAAAACGGAGAAATTGAGGGCATATACCACGAACGCTCGATGTTTTATAGCGGAGCTTATCTTAAAATCAATACATATAATTACAATTAATAAATAAATAGACGTTTCGGCCTTCAATTAGGCCATCTTTAGTATATAAAATTAAAAATTATAAAAAACGAAATAGTGTATAGTGTACAATTAATTTAAGATCTTTCTTTTTTAACATGTCTATATGTCAGTACGCTCGTTAAATTTATTTTTCTACTTTCTTTAGTTGCATATTTTTGAATGTATCCATCAATTTCGTCTTATGCTCCAAATTGTTATCGATAGGTTGTAATCGAACACACAGTTTCCAGATTCTGTGTTCCAGTAGACTTGTAAAGATTGGTACAATTTGGAACATAAGACGAAATTGATGGATACATTCAAAAATATGCAACTAAAGAAAGTAGAAAAATAAATTTAACGAGCGTACTGACATATAAACATGTTAAAAAAGAAAGATCTTAAATTAATTGTACACTATACACTATTTCGTTTTTTATAATTTTTAATTTTATATACTGAAGATGGCCTAATTGAAGGCCGAAACGTCTATTTATTTATTAATTATAATTATATGTATTGACTTTAAGATAAGCTTCGCTATAAAACATCGAGCGTTCGTGGTATATGCCCTCAATTTCTCCGTTTTTGCATAATAAATATTATGTTTAAATTGAGCGGACTGTATCTAAAAGTTTAAGTTAATAAACAATCGCAAATAATAGTAACAATTTTAATACTGATAATATTAAACCTTAAAATTTTCTTCTTAGATTTAGCACACGCCCCTATCTGTATTTCTTATAATCTGTATAAATTTTATTTTATAATATATGTAGTAAAAAGATTACGATGCATTATGATACACGTAGGATAAATATTATTAAGGGATTCTTTTAAAAAAAAAATTGTTTTATTACTTTTTGGTTTTTTCAAAAAACATATATTTAGGAATATTTCTATAAAGTTTTTAGAAGGAAAGGAGGGATGCAAAAAAATAATGGAATAAAAGCGGTTTGGAAGACACGTTATTCGAAATATTGAATCGCATGGCCAGAATAGCAAACAGCAAGAGATGATTAATTTTTTTTTTCCCCAAGAAAGATGACATATTTTATGTAACTGAAATAGTAGTTCAAAATCAAGTTTAATCGTAAGTTCAAAAAATTTATTAGTACCTATGATTTGTTACTATCTACATAAAAAGTACATATAAAACTTTAAACGTAATTTTTTCAATCCTACATTTTCTTAACTTAACCGCATGACTTGAAATTTTAACACAATATACAGTATACATGTAATTTTCGCCCTTACCTCGGACAAAGTTGTACGTTTATTTTTTTCTATTTTTTTTTAGTTAAAAATAATTTTGACTTTTAATACCTTTTTCTGTAAAGTCATTATTTTTCCAAATATGACTTTGTTGACTTTATTTTGTTACAAGCGAAAACTGCATCCATATTTAATAAATTTTTTCATTTTTTTATTTCAAAGCAATAAAAGATCCGGAATCTTGTTGACATAGCGCCCTCGAATGGTTGGCTGTCTTTTGTCTAATAATTGCAAATTGGATCACTCAAATTCAATTAAAAAATTTTTTGTATTTTTAAATAGATAAATAGACTATATAAATTTTAAGTCAATTGGTCGAGTGATTTTTTGAATTATTAAAAATTGTTGTAAAATGGCAGGAGAATCCTCTCTTAAACAATAATACTTCACATTAATAATGAATAAATATTTCTGTATTATCGGATGGTTTTAAAAGATTTTTTAAAAATTGTCTTGTTTTTTTTTACAACATTAATGATGGCTGACTTTATCAAAAGCTTCTTCAGAAGTAGAATATTTCGTTAATATAAAAGAAGGCGTACAAGTCTTATGTCCATTTCTACCAATATAAATTAACTTCAATCTCGGTTCAATTTACTCTCTTCACCTTTTTCTAATTCTAAAAAGAACAAGTTCGAAAAAGAATAAGTTCAAAAAAGAACAAGTTAAACTGAGATTAAAGTTAATCCACATTAAAGAAAACAAGTATTATTATATAGCTTCTTAAACGTAGCTACCAACAGTTTTCATTCACTAATAGTAATCTATCAGTCTTTACAGAAAAATATTCCAAAATAATCGAGAAATGCTTATACTTAATTGGATTTGCTAAAGCTGCGTTCCACTTAAAGTTTGCAGTGCTCATGGAATCGTTTCATCCTTATTGTTTATTAAATGTTAAACAAAGACAAATGATCGCAAACATTGCGAGCGTCAAATGAAACGCATTTTAAATTATTTTAGTCACAACCTTATTTGTAAGCATAGCAATGATGCTTAGCCAATAGTTTCTAAATATTTAATCGTTACTTATGTTAGTTCAGTATTATTATGACTAACAGTTTTTGAAGATAATATACGTTATTATCCGATTTACAAAATCATTTTTATATAAGTTTAATATAAATAAGATTATAATTATGAACAAAAAAATACATAATTATGGATAAAAAATTACATAAATGAATTATTCGATAAGATTTCTAATACATAATATCTAATAAAAAATTGGAATTTGTAAGATTTCTTCTTAATTACATAGCAAACTTAAGCTATGTATGTACAGTAACATAATTTGACAGAATCTTATACTTAATAAAACTTAGCCAAAAACGCATTATTTATCAACTGTATTTAATTTAATGTAAAATACCGCAATATATGTGTAACGTAATAACGAAAAAGGCAAAATATATTACACGAGTTAAATCAGGATATATGTAATAATTGCGCAATATATTAGATAAATTTAAATATAACTTTAAAATCTTATAACAATTAATATAAACTGCGCTAGATTAAGAATATAAAAATTAATTCTCATTAACCTTATACCAAATTTTACTGTACATCAGTAATGGGTGGGTGCATAGTGATTATCAGAATTTTTGATCCGAAAACATTTGTTTTTATAAAATCACTTTCATACCATTAGACATTTCATCTTTTTCATTTATTCACTTTTATTTACAAATAATAAAAAACCTTTTTTCAAAAATTCTGACTAATTATGATCATCATCATCGTAATAAAAATATAATTTATTCTATCGTTTCGATACACTATTCAACAGTTTCCACGACTTTTTTTAAGTTTATAACACGTATAAATTAAAAATGTTCTTTTTAAATTAGCCAAACATACAACTATTGTTCTTACCAAAAAAAAAAGAAATAAAATATGTAACACTAATGAAAACGTCATGAAAACCATCAAACGTAATGCATCAATCGGTGACTATATCTCAACGTAAAACTCAACTCACCTCTTGATTTTTTCTTTTCCTGATCATACATTATGACCACTTCCATAACTTTACCAAAGCGAGTAAAATAAGATCTTAAATCAGTCTCCGTAACGTTACTTGGCAAGCCACCAAGAAAGACTTTCGGAAAGCCACCACTGCGCTTTGGCTTTTGAAGAGTACGTGGATTACATGGTTTTGGATCAATCTGTAATGCAAAAAACATATTAACAAGATATGCTTCCTGCAACTTTCACATATGTATATAAGTTGTATTGTTTTAATCCTTAATTTTATAAAAATAAAATGTCACTAAGATATAAGAGTAAAATGTGGCTCCATATAAAAGTAGTCGATTCATAATCAAAAGGTTCAATTCTTGTTACATAAGATTATAAATTTTAATTAAATCATTAAAAATTTTAAGTAATAGGATACAAAGTATTGTAGTACACAAGACTGTGTTTTTGGAATCATAAATATATGCATCAGTAAATATGACTTTTTGCAACTTCTAAATAAGATAATTTTAAATTAAGAAGCGCCATAACGGTCAGAACGTTAAGATGTTGAACTATTGTAAATTCATTTAAATGAATTAATTTCAGAAATGATAATTGCGTGCCGATATGGTTGTCGGACTTTCAACGCAATCAAATCTGAAAATATTAATAATCCCCCAAAATTCCCCAACTTAAAAACTGTAATAAAACTTATTGCGAAAAATAAGATTGCAGAATCTTATTTAGAAAGTTTGCAGAAAATCATATTTATGATAAGTAATATTAAAATACATACCGTACGTCCGTCAAGTTGATGAGGACCATTCTGAAGGACCAAAGAAACATTAGCAGGATCGCTAAATGTTACAAATCCAAACCCACGACTGCGTCCAGATTCACTGTTTTTCATAACAACGCAATCGATAACCTCGCCATAACGGCCGAAGTAACGTTGGAGATTTTCTTGGGTTGTCTCCCATGATAACCCACCAACGAACAATTTTCTGTAACAAAATGTGATGGAACATCACTTCAGTGTCATTAATATATGCGAATTTATTCAATATACTTATATATATAATTTTCATGATAGATAAATAATGTATATCGTGGGAGGTCTTAAATCTACTTGAACGCTTATTGGAAACGCTTTACTGGAAAACTACTTTATGATATTCTTAAAGCATGAGTTACACTAGTTCTTCGATTCATTTTTATTCTTCACAATAACAATATTTAAAAAAAAATATTTTTGGATAAAGAGATCGCAAAACTGTTTCAAAAGTTTCCAAAAATGTTATTAACATGTAATTAATAGCACATGTAATAAATGTACGCTAATGTATATTTTCTCAATTTTCAAGTATATTAAATCATTTTGATACTTTAATTAATATTGTATAATGAACAAGATAATTATATATTCTGAATAAATGCGAAGATTTATTTATTATAAAAGTATAAATGTTTCAAGTCCATCATACAAATCCCCTGGAAAGTATAACTGACAATCATATTCTTTTTAAATTACGATTCAATTATGAAAAAAAAAACAACCTGATACTTTTGTTTAAATATTCATGAATAAACAATTTATATATTGCATTCTAAAGTAACCAGTTTAAGAGAAATACGTTGAGAGGTTGGATTTAAAGAAAAGGAGTGGTTATATTCCAAAAAGATAAAACTTGCTGAATCATACGAAGCATAAATATCCCGGCAGTCGACGATACGCTCAGGAATATCGAAATCAATTGATAGTATATCCAACAACGCCATTCCCCTCAGCCATCGTTTTAAAAACTCAAACACGCCATTCAGACTCGTAGGATCATCGTAGGTATCCGCGCAACGAGTGCTCTCGTTACCCCGCGTGTTTCCGACCGGCGCGAAGGCACCAGGGGAGCCTCCAGACGAGCGGAGCGGGTCCGGTCGAGAGTTAGAGCGTAAAAATAGAGAGAAACCGGCTTAAGAACGCGAAACGCTTTCGCGCACTGCTCTCGCGAATCGTGCGTTGCCGTAAAAGAATACGCGGGCGGTGCATGGGGGACGTGATGAAAGACGTGAGGGAGGGAGCGGGAATCCCGAATTTTTACAGATCCTGAGATTCGAAGTCAGCCAGACGACGCGAATACGCGGCGAGTCAACCGGCGAACCTCGTGGCAGAGCGAGGAGTCGCTCTCGCGCGTCTCGTCGTCATCGTCAAAAAGGAAAAACTCGATAAAGAATTAACAAGAGTATCGTCACTGTCCACAGCAACGTTCCATGTCGTCACGGGACGGAATTCGAGAATGCGAAGACAGAACGTTGACGAAACGTAGAAAGACTTGAGGCAGGAAAAATCATTTCTCGCGATTGCGATGCGCAAATCGCGAGCGGCAGCAACAACGGGAACGATGATGGCCCCGCCGAATATGGGGAGGCATGGAAGCGCGAAGGACGGCGAGGGGGGCGCGATATGTTGTCCGCGATACCGGGCCCCACCGAATAATCCACTTACCCCTTTTCATCGTCGTCCATTTCGGTCTTCACTCTCATAATATTTCACTTAAAACTACGAGAACGCGGTCAATTTCAGGGCGCGAGTGGGAATATGGCACGATGCTTTAGCGCGGACGAGGGTAATGGCTCCGCACGACAACGCGACGTCGGGAACAAATGTAAACGTAACGAATATCGCGCGTCACTTCCGCCTCTCGTTCTACGACGCTGGTCGAACCAGCTACCCGATTTGCAGGACCGTCGCCGCAGGGGACCGCGGGCGATTTCAACTGTTCGATTAAATTCCGAATGCTTTCTATTTATGCTCGTTTTTATCAATGTAGATTGACTTTAATCTCAATTCTTTTTTAATTTTTTACACTGAAGAAAAAATTTGCGAAATTTTAATAAATATTTGTTTAGGTAGTACTAATTAGGTAAAAAAAAATTATACTAAAATTTATCAACAAATTGAATAAATTTTTATTTAATTTGAGCGCTCAGTGAGCGATCGTGGTACTGAATGCACCCAATGTAAGCAAATGTCCCATTGCGCGTTTCATTTGGACTTACAAGGCTCGCGAGTATTATTTGTCTTTGTTTAACATTTAATAAACAAGAAGGATGAAATGATTCCATGAGTGTCAATTAGTGGACCGCAGCCTCTATAACCCCGGATCTACAATAGATGTTTTAAGCCTTAAGTCGTAAGAAACTGACCAATTACAGTCGAATTCGAGAACAATAATCGACTATGATTCGTCCATTTCTTATGGTTTAAGGCTTAAAACTCTAATTGTAGATCCGGGGTAATGGACGCATTCAACGGACTCAACAGATAAGTGAGTGCTCGCTGTTATTGGTGTATTCTTTTAGATCATCCAATCAAAATTTTAGAAGAATACATCATCATTCGGTCTGTCGCGTTGCTTGCACTTTTTGCACTTAGCATCTTCGTTCTCTCTCTTTTCAACGCCTAAATATATATTTATCCTTTTTTAAGTGCGAAGTGCTTTTTGGAGATTTCAAGCAACACGAACAAACTTATAGGCTATCGCTAATTAACAATGGCTGCATTCAGCGGACTCAACAGTTGAGTGAGCGTTCGCTGCTATTGACGTATTCTTCTAGATCTAAAATTATGATTGGATGATCTAAAAGAATACACCAATAACAGCGAGCGCTCACTCAACTGTTGAGTCCGCTGAATGAGCCCAATAACAAAAATCGTCGATAAATCGTTAGAAAATCCCGTTACAGGTGATTTTTACTTTTTTTTTATTTTATTTTTTACTGTGATTTTTACTTACGAAAAATCAGTTTCATCGCCATGTATCAGCGGAGATGCGTATATTGCTCACTGATGATTGACTTTAATGATATAAAAGCCTTAATTGTGTCTACGATACTAGAAATCGTATCGAAATCTCGGATAAGAAAAACTGATAATAAATTATAAAGTTAAAAATTGTTCAATTCTTCTAATTAAATTAATCCCTAATTATAAATTGATAAATAGTTTATGAAGTTAAAAGCACGTAGCTGGACGGAATCGCTAATTTTATTACTGACATATGAAAGAATTGAACAAAGCGAAATAACAAACAAAACGGAATATACCAAAAACAAACAGAAAGAAAGTTTAGGAACGAATCATGCGCTCATCAAATTAATCACCGATTAAGCTAATTAGGGCCTAATTGTCATCAAAATATATTTCAAATCACGCTGTGTATTCACTATGTGTGTGAATGGAGTTAATTTCGAATAATTTTATTGCAGACAATAAAACAATATCTTTTTACGTATAATGTATTACTCAAAGTGCTCAAAGTGCATGGTAGTTCAATTGACAGATAAACGTGCAAGTAAAAAAAATATATATAAGTTATTTCATTTGCCAGACTGGCCCACAGTTCCACAACTAACGGTTAACTCTTAACCGAGGTTTAATTCATTGTCTCTATCCAATTCTAGGATTGGAAAGAGAAACAAGTTGAATCTCGGTTAAGAGTTAACCGTAAGTTGTGAAACTGGGACTTAAGAGATTGTGTGTGCACGATACATCTTTCATTTAATTTTTTTTTTTCGTGGAGAAAACGAGTAAAGATGAACGAGTAAAGATGCAGTATGATGCCTATTTCTATCAATGTAAATTAACTTTAATCTCGGTTCAACTTACTTTTCATCCGTTCCTAATTCTTAAAACTAGAAAAAGATGAAAAGTTAGTTAAATCGAGTTTAAAATTAAACTACATTGGTAGAAACGTACCTAAGAAGTTCAGCTAAAAAGAACAGGCCTACGACGTGACTGTTATCGTTCCGATAATTTCTGTTGACGTCAAGTTTCGATTTATATCTCGCGCGAAAATATATATTCGTCCAGGAACCTGCGTTGCCCCCCTCTTCATACGGCCCTGCGAGGAAAGCCATTTATTCGCAGCACGCGATATATATATTTCGTGCGATATTAACTGATTAACATTGCGTTCGTCACTCTCGCCCGCAACATTTCACTTACTGGAAAAGAAATATCCACATACTGGAGCATACAAATGTTAAAACGTCGCCTGAGCACGTCGGTCATATCGAGTTCAACGATCTGTCCGTTCCTCGTGCCGCGCGAACAGCCTCCTTCTAACTCCTTCTGCACTCAGCGAGTGCGAAACGGATCGCACGGAACCGGCAAAATGACGTCAAATAGTCGAATGATCGAATCAGTCGAATGGAATGATAGGACTGGTAGGAGTGCAGAGTGGAAGGACGAGAGGTGCAGAAAGGAAAGACTGGAAGAGCAGGCTTGTAAACGTGCTGAAGCGTGCCGCGTCACACAGTCGTCAGGGAAATGTTTTTCAGAATTTTTATACACATTAGGATACTTTTCAATAATATCGAGAAATTCTACATCTTTTCTTACAAGAAAACCGATGGAAGTGTTCCCCTCCGATTTTAATAAGATTTGACTATTTTGTTTTCTAGACAAAAATAAGATAATACGTATTTTTTTTATAAAGGCTAAATCACACTTTTAGGGATTAGTGCAACACCCCCTTTGAAAAAATCGATTTTTATACTATTTGAAATTATAAGAGATAAAATTTATAATTTAACTAATGTTCTGAATAAAGTTCAATGATTTGAAAAATACTTTATAATAATAAATTTAAAAAATTTGTTTAAATGAAAAAATTTTTATTAAAAAATATGAATAAAACAATTTTTTAATTAAAAAATTTTAAATACTCTTAAAATCATTCTATTTCAAACATTTTTTTATCTCAGTTTCGATAATATTTACTTCGAAAGAAATAATTAATTTTATTTAAAAGGGTGTTGTATCCTTAAAAAAATTCTGAAAAATTATATGAAACATTCTCAAAAAAATTTCATTAGGGAAAAATTTTCCAATCGAAATGCGTTTTTTTTTTACAGAAACGGCAACAAAAATACACGCATTTCTATCTTTATAGATCTTTGGAGAATTTGTGACCACGTTGACTTTCAGTATCTCATGAAATAACGCTTTTATGAATGCTTTATAAACTCGTGTAAATCCGCGACTATTTTGCTGTGACGTCTGCCATCTGTGATCTGCGCCGTCGCGAGAACCGCGAAAGCCGAGAAACTGTAGTGTCATACTGTCATTCAGTTTCTGGTAATTGCATTTGAGATATTTTGGCAAATTAAGCGCGATAATGAATCTATTGATAGAAAATGGGAAAGGAAATTTACCTGATTATGAGGTGCAGGGAGTGAGAAAAGTAAACTTCAATCCATATTCTGACAATGGAGGGTAAGTGAAAATAACCTACAACTTCATTTATTTTAAGTGTCAATTGTAAGAGTATACATTTCTACGGTTGATCGATATTCTTAGTTTTTATTTTATAATACTTCTTTATAGTTCTATGTTCTTTATATATTTATGAAATATTTTACATCTCTCTCTCTCTCTCTTCTCTATGTAATTATATGAAAACACTGTTTCATCCTTAGGAGTGTTGTGGCTCTCGCTGGGGACGATTTCTGCGTTATAGCCGCAGACACGCGTCTCAGCACTGGATTCACGATTCACACTCGAAATCAGGATAAATTATTTCCGTTGTCAGACACGACTATCTTAGGGTGCTCCGGTTGTTGGTGCGATACTACAACCCTAACTCGTCTCCTATCTGCTCGCATGCAGGTATTAAATCTTACACTTGGAATCAATTAGGATTAGAATATAGTAAAATAATTATATGATAACGTTTGATACATATTGGCTCGTATTCAGAACGCGCTTTTATCGATAAAAGCGCGCTAACATCGTTGGAAGTGTTTTGAATATGGGCCATTAAATTGTTAAACACAGGTATAATAGTTATTATTTTGCTTCAGATGTATAAACATGAACATCAAAAGGAAATGTCAACTCCAGCGGCAGCACAAATGCTATCGATAATGCTGTATCACAAAAGATTCTTTCCTTATTATGTTAGCAATATACTTGCTGGATTAGATGAGAATGGGAAAGGCTGTATATATAGTTATGATCCAATTGGACATTGCGAGAAAACTACATATAGGGCTGGTGGTTCAGCTGGTGCACTTTTGCAACCGCTTCTTGATAATCAGGTATATACTTTAATCTTTTATATGTAAATCGACTTTATATATTTATATAAGAAACATTTAAGAAAAAGTATAATTGATATTACATCTTGTACTTGCAATTTTTCTATCTTTTAGATTGGTTACAAAAATCAAGAAGATGTGACTCCTATACCTTTAACTCAAGAAAAGGCTATAGCAATCTTGAAAGACGTTTTCACTTCTGCTGCCGAAAGAGATATATACACAGGTGATGGAATAACTATCAAAATTATTACCAAGGATGGAATAGAAGTCTCCAGTTTTGCTCTGAGAAAGGATTAATGAGGAAAAAAAGCATTTATACTATCTGCGCAAATAAAGTTATTTGAGTATATCAACACTGTGTTATTAAATTCTTTCTCTTTCACTTTTTAAAAGAGATAGTACATTACGGAATAATTATTTTGTAATTGATCTTAAATGCACAAATTGAAATTGCACGGATTGAATAATATACAAAAGATACGAAATAATATACAAAACGTACGAAAGAGAGTTTGAAATATACAAATACACATAAGCAGTATTT